GTTCATAATTACATAAGACAAAGACTAAGGAAAAATCAATTTTCTTTCCTTCTCTGAATCCTGGTGGGTGAAATATTTTCCACATAAATGAATCACCAGTGAGAAAAATAGCCTCAATTAGATATTTCAAAGTGGATTCCAAGGAACATTAGAAAAATGTGAGACATCTAAGGAAAAAAAAAAAAGGGGGGGATCAAATAAGTCTGGGAAAATTATGATATGTACAGTGTACATTAGCATATTAAAGACTCTGGGAAGTCCTGAAGTATACAAACCTATTTGACCATAAATCCTATTTATTCACATACTATCTACTAATTCAGTATACATTACACCTCAACCTAAAGAAAACAAAAATCCTCACAATGGAGCACTAAGCAATATCATGACAAACTGAGAAAATAATGAAGTTGTCCAGGATTTCATTTTACTTGGATCCACAATTAACACCTGTGGCAGCAGCAGTCAAGAAATCAAACGACAGTTTGCATTGGGCAAATCTGCTGCAAAGACCTCTTTAAATGTTGAAAAACAAAGATGTCACTTTGAAGACTAAGGTGTGTCTGACCCAAGCCATGATATTTTCAATTGTCTTACATGCATGGAAAAGCTGGCCAATCAATAAGGAAGACAGAAGAAGAACTGACACCTTTGAATTACTGTGTCGGTGAAGAATACTGAATATACTATGGACTGCCAGAAGAACGAACAAGTCTGTCCTGGAAGAAGTACAGCCAGGGTGCTTCTTAGAAGCCAGCACGGCAAAACTTCGTCTCAAGTATTTTGAACATGTCATCAGGAGGGACCGGTCCTTGGAGAAGGACATCATGCTTGGTAAAGCAGCGGGTCAGCAAAAAAGAGGAAGACCCTCAATGAGATGGACTGACATAGCAGCTGCCAAAGATGGGCTCAAACATAGCAACCATTGTGAGGATAGCGCAAGACTGGGAAATGTTTCATTCTGTTTTACATAGGGTCGCTATAAGTCTGAACTGAGTTGACGGCACCTAACAACAACAATCCTACTCGCACACAGAAAAGGAGCCTTAAGAAATTCTATGAGCATTCTTAGCACAGATGACACCACGGTCCACAGCAAATTAGGACTGAAAAATGTAGAAAAGTCTATTAAAAATTTAAATACATTAATAATGTAACAGATACTGCCAATTTAGTTCAACAGATACCACCACTTAAGATAACTGAAGTCTCAAATATCACCAAAAAGCATTTTCCATTAAAATTGCAAACTCTAAAATAATTTAAGACTTAAAGAGGAGACATTAATTCTAAGTATAGGTTTCATATTTAAGTATCTATACAAACACTAAAATTCTGAGTCTTGGTTTCCTCATTTGCCTCATCAGCTTTTACACAGATTTGAACCTAGGCTTTACCACTTAGTAGCTGCCTGACCCTGAGCAAATTACTTAACCAGTCTTTGTCTCCATTTCTTCACCTGTAAAAAACAGGTTAAAACAACTTCTTTATACAGTTGTTGGAAAGATTTTGAGATGATATATGTGAAGTGCTTATATCAGTATCTGATTAGAGTGAGTACTTACAAGTGTTGGCTATTATGAACTATAAAACATATATGTAAAACAATTTTCGAATAATAAGGACAAAAAACAACAGACGGAAGTCTTGAAAGCATGTTTAAAAAATAAGAACCCTGGGGACCTCATACCACCAAGAAAGCAGTGCCGGGAGCAGAGCACGTCCTTTGGACCCGGGGTCCCTGTGTGGAGAAGCTCCTAGTCCAGGGGAACACTGATGAGAAGG